CAGGGACGATAGAAACAGTGTCTTTCTCCCAGGACACCACACTGACGTACTCCTGGACGGCTGACGGGATGAGGCACTTGAACACGGCAACATTTCCCCGCATGGAGCGTTGGTCGGCCACACGGACTGTGTAGGGCTCCCTGAACACTGGAGATCAAACAACAAACAACAAAAGTGTCATTGCAACATTTTTGTTTTGGCTGATGAAAGTAGTAACCAGTAAAGCTAAACATTTCAACCATTACAAAAAGTAGAAAAGTTGCATCTGCATCCCAAAAACACTTCTGCAGGATGCTTGTTTTGATAAAATGAGCTGCATAACATTTAGGTTCCAGCTGCTATTGCAGATGTGCATTGGCATTTTTTCTGAACCCAGAAGCATCAATCTGAACATGAAGAACAACCAAAACAAAAGCTAATGCTCAAATTCTCGTTTCTCTTGTACAAAAAGCATGACTCATGTGGATTATCACTTTTTTTGCATTTTTAAAATATTTTGCCCATTTGTTTTTTAGCACAAGTAAATTGTAAAATGAAAGTGAGCTCAATGAGAAGCCAAACTGTGGTGATAAAAATCACATTAAAGTAGTGGATTATTTGTTTAATCAATACATTTGCAGTGATCTGGTAGGAATGAAAGCCTTGTAAGTTGTTTTCAAGGGGAAGAAATATACTGGCGCACCATTTCTCGGACATATTAGTAGCCTACATCACAGACATATATATGCAGATGCCCAGTGGACTGGCGCTCCTAGTTGGAGCTGCTGTGATAACTCACCGCCATCTTAGATGGGTCTCCATTTGCCCCTGGTACATTCATTTCTACTGAGGAAGACGCTTACCCAACAAAAAGAATAATAATAATAATAATAATAATAATAATACAAAAATAAAAAAACTAATTCTATTGTGCTTATTACAAAATCAGACACATGGCATAACATGGAAATTAAAACCTAAGTTTAATTACTTAAAATAAATAAAAATTTATGAAAATGCTAAATCCCAATACGTTGGCTTGAAAAGTCAATAGTAATCCCATGTGATCGGTTTTCAAAAGTGGGCAGGTATAGGGTCATAGTTGCTCACCCTGTGTTTACTCCAGTTGGGTTTAGAGAGTGAGGGACCCAACCAATATGGTGCAAAAGCTGTAATGCTCTCCAGCGTCCAATGGGGTGTCTACGTAATCATGCCTTTGGCTTCAAACAACATCCATATTCGATAACAGCAACGCAACACTACCACTGACTTGCAACATGGATGTTTAATCTCCACAATTAACACAAGCCTGGAGGAGTTAGGTCTTGTGGTGAAGTTGCTAATGCTAACAGTTAGCTTCTACTTGCCAAGACATTCCCTGCTGTGTCCTGGATGCTAAACCAACAACTGCCTTCTCCGTTGTAAGTCAAGATGGGTGAGTCCATGAATGCTAATTCACAGTGGGACGTAGAGCTGTGAGGATTTTCAAATCCTAGGTGTCCACTATCTATTTTCTGTCAGAAGCGAATGCAGGAGATTGGTGCATTTTAATGTTTAACCTGCATTATTTCTATCCCCAGACCTTTAAAGCAAGATTTGACAAAGAAAAGCAAAAATAATGTTTTTCTTATGACAACTCTTTGTCACCTAGACACTGCAGATGTCCATTTGTCCATTTGTAAACAAAAGGACACTTTTCTCTGGTGTTTAGTTGAGCTGCATTAGACCCCTTTCTTGCTTTAAATGTAAAGGCACAGTTTGATTGTAAGAGAGACTGACTTAGAGCTGCGTTGAATGGGATGCACAGTGATGGGCCCCTGGCCTTTTAAAGCGCAGCGCCACAGATGCTATGAGACGGCAAGGAGTGGAGGGTCTCGCTTAGCCGATGGAACTGTCACATACAGGCGCCAGGCATCAAAAACACACCCTCTGCACATGGCATGCTGAGCACTAGCCCATGAATCTGTGCCAGCATATAGAGAGCATGCTGATTAAGACAGGCTTAATGATGAAAACAGTAGCCTGTGGCTAACCAAATTATATCTCCAGTTAACTCTGTCACATTTGGATTAGTGAGAACTGCTGAATCAGAGCACGCATTTTCATTAACTAAATTAATAGATTATTTTGGTATGAAGGAGAGACAGGTAGTTCAAGGTCATGCCAGCTAGGCTGAACTGTGGGGCTCTGCCCACAGTTTAGATCTCATTTGTTTAAAGGGGGGCTACACGATTTTTCTCCAGTAGCTTTGACGTGGACAAAAGGGAGACAACTTGACAAGAGTAAGATGAGAAAAACACAATTACTGAAATCAGATATTGGGTCTCAGGCTGATATTGGGGAGTGTTTCTGGCAATCTATCAACCAAGCCTCTCTTTAGAAATTAGGACAGTAATGGCTTAACAATGTTAAACGCACATGCACACACAACCCTAGGAGGGGCCCCACCCTCCGAGTGCTCGTTTTCTCCCCCAGCTCTCCAGTGATATAATTAACGCCTAGCCTGAAGGCCAGTTTCCTTGGTCATTAATAATGCTTTATGCCAGCCGCTACTGTCACTGGAACCCAGTGGAACTAAAGCCAGTGTCCTTGTAGAAACACTGGAGAGTGTTTCACTTTAAAGTTCAAGCTTTTTTCTTCTAAGTCTTTGTTTGACTCTGTCCATTGTTTTCACTGCTGTACTTCATTCATAACCTGATTGACCTTTCCTTTCTTCTGTTCAGACTTGTAAAAGACTAGAAACTAGGTAGAAAGTGTCAGAACTGTTGAAATTACATTTCATCATATGTGTGAATCTTGCCAGAAACATAGAAGGTGTAAAACATTAGGCCAAGGACCGAATTAATAGCCTTTTTCAGAGCTGAATTTTATGATGGTTAAATTAAATCAAAAGTCAAGGCCAATAGAATAAAGCAAAAACACAAAGAAGGTATGCTAACACATAAAATGAAAGGAAACTTGTTTTGAATAGATTTAAAAACACACAGCGATACACGGACCATTCACTTTAATACAAAGCAGTCTCTATTGAGATTGCTGAAGATTCTTCCACAAATCGTAGTTTTTCTTTTTTGTGTAATGTTTACAACTTCATTTTGGTCAACAACCAATTCCAGTCAAAGGTTATTGATGTTGGAACCTCCTTCTGGCCAGTGTACTAGTGAAACCAAATATATAAGATAAGTGGGGAAAATTACAGTTTTTAAAGAGTGATTAAGCAGTTCTGGCTTGCTTTGAGCACCCCCCAGTGTCCATTAGTAAAAAAAAACAAACAAAAATGAAACTATTTTCCTCACTGTACTTTTGTATTTTTAACACCTAATCTAACAGATGAAATGTCTCCTCAGCATTCATTAGTGTCTACAGGAGTGATTCATCACTAAATTAAACAAATGAGCTGTGTTGATGATCTAAAACATTCAGGAAATGTGCTGGAAATAGACTGCAGCGGCGGGTATGTCAGCTCCACTTTACTAAGTCCAACAGCAACCGGACCAACAACTCTGCAATTGCAAGTGCGGTATTCTGGTCACATTTCATCAACCCTGTAAAAAGTCATTTTAGCTCATAAGGCCTCAAGAAAATGATTTAAAAATATCAAAAAGTTGCAAGGTGTCCCTTTAAATATGCATATCAGTTAAAACAAGGTCTAAAGCCTAATTTATACTTCTTTGTCAGCTCCACGAGGGAGAGACACGCACGGACAGAGACAATTTGCCTTCATACTTCTCTGTCTCCTAGGGGGTGTTGCAAAGAAGTTCCCTGCCAGGACAGCAGAGGGCGGAGCGCTGTTCTGCGGTATCCTGTCATTTATACAGTCCTAGATAATGTGTTTATATTGTGTATTTTTTGTATATAAGAGACTTTTTAACACGGACAAATTTGTCACTCATCCTCCTCCAGCTCTTCATGCGCTCGCCACCTCTAATCCCACGTTTCCCGTCATTTCTGCCCACAAATAAAAAGCTTTCTGCGTATCTTTTCACTCCTCCAGTCACGGGGGATAAAATGTTTATTTTTTTAGAGTTTTTCCGCGAGGTATTCTTCAAGCGCCTCTGTGTCTACCACCAGATATCCTCGGCTCTCTTTATGTTTTTGAGAGCGTAATTGCGGTGCTGTAGATTACAGTGGTGTCCTGACCAATCGTGAGCTTGCATTCTTCATCTCGACGGTCAGATTTTTAGAAAAGAGAGCTTAACTCCTTCTCCGTCTGTCCTCGTGAGCCTGTCGGAGAGCCCTCGAAAGGACGCATAATTGCGTTGCATGTGTCCGTCCCAACACAGACAGAGAAGTATAAATTAAGGTTTAGACGTACTTTCTTTCTAGATTTAGGAGCTTTGTTGCTCCTTCAAACATCCCCCAGAATAAATAAATAACCATCCACTTCCCTTTAACTTCAAAAAGCAGAATTATCTTACCCTACATATCTGTAAGATGACCTTCAACAAATGCAAAGATGTTGAATTCATTATTTATTTTTAACTGGAAAAGATGTTTGAATTATTTCTGTTAGAACCAACACAAACATTACTTTCCAATGCATTCCTTTACAACCAGAGTTCACATGAAATCCAATTTTTAATCACATCAAAACTAAAAAACAAATCCCTAATCAGGTTTTTCTTCTGATTTCTTTATTGAAACAGCCTCAGATGTTCATTGATGCCCTATTCCTGCTGATCAATAACCCGTGTCGACAAAGCAGCCCCCTTTGTTGTGACTGAGCCAATCTTTTCAATCATTTATTTACTCTCTGACTGACCCTGCTACCTTCTGTCAATAGTGTGTAAAAATCCCAGTTGCCCACCGGGGCTCTCGTAGAGTGTTTACTATCATCTTGACAGCTTGTAAAGATTTCCGTCAATGATGACAGATATCACTTTTCAATTGAGCCATAGTTCAAACCCAGTCAAGGTCACCTCGGGTTTAGATCTGTAGCTGCTCCTAATGCATAAACCTCCCTTCTTTGTGTAAATCTGCCAAATCAGCTTTCCACCTCCTTGCAGGCATCCCAAGAAGGGACGATTCTCCTGTTAGGAGCATCATTTGTCACACATTTAACAAATATCTGCGGGACACAAAGGGGAATATGGGATAACATATGCATCCTCTTAAGCCTTGTAGCATGATTCAAATGCAGTCAGACTGATTTGTGTGTAAATTGCACT